GGTGGTCGTATAGGTGTGTATATATGTATATTCACACAAGACTGCATTCGCGCTTCGCGCCGTGCACCTGGGCCCTTGATGCTTTGCTTATGTTGGTCGTTCGCGCCATCCCTAGTGGCCTTGGAAATTTGGTCCCTTCCCTGCGGTGGTTTCGGAAGTCTTTGAAAGTTCGGGCGGTCCGTGGCCCTTCCCAGGGCCTCCGGGTGCTCCCCGAAGGCGCCGGGTGGAGGGCGAAAGATGGGAGGGAGGGAATCTCGGGGAGCGAGGAGAGGGAAGCGGATGTCAGGGAGGACGAGTGGTGGAGCGGCAGCAGGAGGAGAAGGAGGTGGAGGAGGAGGAGGAGGAAAACCCAGAGGAGGAGCAGGAGGAGGGAAAACAATGACGCCGTCGGGGGACGGCGAAGAATGTAGGTTGCGTTGCACCGAGGAGCGCCGTCCAGTTGCCAATGGCGCTTTTTTGTTGTGTACGTACACGCGTGCAGAAATCGTGGATGCAGAAATCGTGCACGTACGCGTTTGCGGAAATGTCCGGCAGTGTGTGACGACCACAAGGCCTTCGTAGGCCCGCACATTGCCCGCTCGTGGCTCGGGTGCCCCGGTGCGCAATACGAAGACATGGCGAGTCACGTGAAAGAATGCCGGGCAAACAGAGCCAATGTCAAGCATTGCCGCAAAGTGCAAAACAATGCCAAGCCGAGGATGTCATGTTGCAACGGGTCGCAACGGGGCACGGTAAAGTAGGGAATTTTCTTGGGGACTGCATCGGCTCCCGGGTTCGCAACAGATTTCGGGGAAACGTGGTTGCGCAGCCGGGATTTCGGTCAGTTTGGTGGAACACACAGTGTGGGCCTTGTTGGATGGAGCTCTGGTGTGTCAGTTTGGGGCCCTCTCGAGCCGTCCTGGTCCTGGGCCGTGTTGGGGAGTTTGGGCCCTTTCGGGACCTTAACCGTGCTACGTGGGCCCTCCTGGTGGCCTCCCATGGCCTTTTTGGGTTTTTCTTGAGGGCCTTGTGAGGTCCTGTTGGGCCTCTTTTTGGCCCCTTCGGGGTTTCTTTGGGCAGTCCTGGAGCCATCCAGGCCGTCGGGAGGCTCTCTTGGGGGTCTCTTGGGCCGCGTTGGGGCGACACGGGAGGCCGAACTGGCTGTTGTGGATGCTGCCAAGACCCGGACGGCGAATATATTGAAAATGTACGATTCCTTCGAGGAATGGGGCGATTCTTGCGTTCTGGAAGTCCTGTTCAGGGCTTTCTGCGCCGTCTCGGGGGCCTCTGGAGGTCATTTAGGTTTTTTCAGGAGAAGCTCTTTTGCTGCCTTGGGTCTCTTTTTGGCCTCTCTGATCACCGCTCTTATCGCCTGGGGTCTGCCGGCAAGACCGGCCAGCGCCCTGGGGGGTCCGGGACGAGCAGAGGGACTTTTGGCAAGCAGGGTGTCCGGGGGGTCCGAAAATCCCGGATCCTGGGGGTCCGGATTTGGGGGGGGCCCACCCCCGGGTTTGTGAAGCATGAAGAGATCTAGGAAGAGGAAAAAGAGAAGACAGAGAGAGAGAGGGAGAGAGAGAGAGCGAGAGAGAGAGAGAGTATGTGTGTGTGTGCGTTGTTGTGTAGTGCGCGTACGCATCCCCCCCAAAGGGTCACGGGTGTGTGGGATGTTCGTGTGCTCGTTTCGCGATGCCTGTGGCCCCCCTCCCGCACCCTGCTTCGGTTGCGACCGAGAATTTAGTCCGTTCCCGACTGCACCCCCACCCAAACTCGTTTGAAAAGGGTGAGGATGACACGCTGCGCGGCTGGTCCATTGTCTCGCGCATCGCGCGCGGGGGTGGCGCTTTGCGCAGAGGTCGCCATGCGACCTCCAACGCGGTGAAAAGTTCTGCCTGCACATGCGCATCGCTGCGCTACCGCTCATTTGTCAAGCGCGTCGCGCGCAAAGGGGGGATCAACACATCGCTGCGCCACTAGCCCTTATCGAACACGTCGCGCGCGGGGGTCGCGCTGCGAGCGCCGGTCGCTTTACGGCTTTCGCTGCCCTGAAGGTGCGTATCGCTGCGCTTCCAGTCATCGGTCGAGCGCCTTGCGCGTGCCAGGGGGGGCGGCGCATCGTTGCGCGACTAGTCATTTGTGGCGCGCGTCGCGCGCGGGGGTCGCGCTTCGCGCAGAGGTCGCCATGCGACCTCCGCAGGAGTGGGCAGGGGGTGGTCTGCCTGAAGATGCGCCTCGCTGCGCTACTAGTCATTCGCTCATGGGGGTCGTGCTTCGCGCGTAGGTCGCTCTCCTACACCCGCAGGGGTTGGGGTAGGGGGTGGGGGGGGGCCTGCCTGAAAATCCCCCTGGGCCTTTCTGAATATTTCAGGGGTTCCCTGGTGCTTTTGGGTATTCGCTGTGCGCTCTGGGGTGTTCGGGGGCGTTCGGGGGCGGTTTGAGGTGCTTTGGCAGCGCCGCGCGCGAGCGGCCGCGCGCGAAACGAAGGCACGCGCCGCACGTGAGCGTGCGCGCGCGAATCGCGAGGGGCGCCGCGTGCGAACGATTACGCGCAGACGCGCCCTCGTGGTGCGCCTGCATGCGACGCGCGCGAGCGGGCATGCACGGGACCGCCCTCGGGTCGCACTAGAAGGCGCCGCGCGCGAACACACCAGAACACCGCCCGATATGCGGCGAATGTGCCCAAGTCGTTTTTGTGCCAGGACCTGTCGTCTACGTGCATGCCGCGGGAGGAGGAAGGCGAGGAGTACATCCAACGCGCTTGGTAAGGACGCGCGCCTTCATCTAGGGTGCATTTGTGTCCTTGCCTCTGCGGCCCGTCACTTGCCGTTTTCACTGGTTGTCCGCCGCCCGAAAAATCCAAATTTCGGCATCCAAGGGTTTTGCGTTCTCACAACCCGTCCTCAATACACGTTGTGATTGCACGAGGACAAGGAAGAGGAGGCGGAGGAGGAGGAGGAGGAGGAGGAGGAGGAAGAGGAGGAGGAGGAGGAGGAAGAGGAAGTGGAGGTCGAGGAGGTGGAGGGAGAGTACGAGGAGGAAGAGGAGGAGGAGGAGGAGGAGGAACAGGAGGAAGATGAGGAAGAGGAGGAGGAGGAGGACGAGGTCGACGAGGGGGGCGGAGGACAACGAACAGCAGGAGGAGGACGACGACGAGGGGGATGAGGAAAACGCGGAGGAGGAGGAAGACGCGGGGGAGCGGCAGCTTAGGTGTGCCCGTGCCCTCCCTCGTTCCCGCTCCCAGGGGTGTGGCATCACTCGGACGTGTGCGTTCTCTCCCTCGGCGTGGGCCACTGGCGAAAGAGCCACGCACGAGGCCGACAACTGCACGGGGATCGGCCTTTTTCGCGTGGACCATCGAAGAGCAGCCGGGATCACCATGCAGCAGACAAGAGCCAGGCTCGAAACCGACACCTGCACGGGGAATGTGCGTCCGAGCGGTGGCAAGAGAAGGATCGGGGGTGGCCACGGGGGGGCCGATGACGTTCTCGTCGTTGCGAGGGCGGTGGTTGGGGGAAGTTGTTTCGTTGACTCGTGGAGGTTCTCTCGCCTCGGGGTGCTCTCCAGCCCAGCAGCTGTTCCTCCGCGGGAGAGCTCTGCAGTGGTGCCATGATCGCCCCGAACGGCTGACAGAGGCCGATTTGTGGAGCCACCCTGCGTGGAAGAGGGGGGAATGATTGCGGCGGGTGGACATCCCAGCCAGGATCATGATAACTCCCCAGATGCTATGGCCCCCACTGCGTATTTCAATACGTTCCCTTGGCTTGATGGGCCTGTTTTCCACCACTACAACCATAAGTTGAAGGGGGGGAGGAGGACGAGGAGGACGAGGAGGACGAACAGGAGGAGGAGGAGGAGGAGGAGGAGGAGGACCCCCCATCCCTCTAACTTATGGTGGTGGTGGTGGACAACAGGCCCATCATGGCCCCCCTCTTGGGCCGCGCACGTGCTTCTAGCCACGATTTGCAAACACCTCTCTTTGGACGCCCCCCTCAAAGGAGGCCTCCGAAAGGAGGCAGGAGGGGATCATACGTGGATGCTGTGGTGGGTTTTGTCTGGCCTGGGTGGGCCGGGGGTGGTCGTAAGTGAGTCACGAGTGTTCTACGTGTTTTGGGTGGTAAGTGTCCGGGCCAATCGGGGTCCGTCTTATCTACCCTCCTCCCAGAACGCCAGCGTGAGGATGAGTGAGGATGGGGATGGTGATGATGCTGCTGATGACGATGATGGTGATGATGATCAAGAGGATGATGATAATGATGATGATGATGGTGATGATGATGATGATGATGGTGATGATGATGGTGATGGTGAAGGTCATGGTGATGGTGAAGGTCATGGTGATGGTGAAGGTCATGGTGATGATGAAGATGATGAAGCTGATGATGATGATGATGGTGATGATGATCAAGATGATGATGATGATGATGATGATGATGATGATGATGATGATGATGATGATGATGATGATGATGATGATGATGATGGTGATAGTGATGGTGAAGGTCATGGTGATGGTGAAGGTCATGGTGATGATGAAGCTGATGATGATGATGATGATGATGATGATGATGATGATGATGATGATGATGATGATGATTCACATGATCTTGAACTGCTGATGGTGAAGAGGGCTATGCTGATGAGATGGAGGTCCAGAGAAGCCCCAAGGATCGCTCTGGGCTCATGGACCCTATTCGCGGCCCATCTGTGGCCGAGGTTCGCCCGGAGCCTTTGTGGGCCCCGCAAACGGCAGGGCCGTTTTTTCACCTTTTCCCCCAAAATGTCCCTTGAGAGTGAAAATGGCAAAAAAACACGGCGACCGGAAACGGCAACAAAAACGGCTCCAGGATTCGAACCAGAGCCGGAACCGGTCAAAAAACGGCGACGGAACCGGTAAACAAACGGCGTCGGAACAGGCAACAAAAACGGCAAAACGGAACTGGTAAAAAAACGGCCCTGTCGTTTCCAGGGCCCACTAAGCCCGGAGCCAACGAAGCCGCCTCGCTGGCCGTTCCTCTTCCCCTCAGGTGCCCGGCGTGGGAAACCGCCGCCTCCTGTCGCTGTTGCGCGGCCAGCGCATGAGGTCATTGCTCCGGAGGATGCTGGACCCGAAGGATCGCGGGGCACCCGCACCGCGAACTCTTGTGAGTGGGAAGCATGGGGGGCAACGTCAGGAGGGGATAGGCTCAAGGGGGGGGGGCGCACGCATCGACCCCCGACCGCCCATTCACCGCGGGTGCGGGCCCGATGGCCCACCCCACCCGGCGACGTGCGGATTCGCTATAAGGGTCCTATCGCCGATCTCTCTGCGATGTATCGCGGATTCGAGCTTGGTCCTCCCCTCCAGACGTGCGTACGTGATCCCGCTGCCCTCGCCCCGGTGCCACGGCTGGATTCGCATCGAAGTCCTGGACGCCAGGAGAGGTCTGGTGAGAAGCTGCACCGGTCTCTTTTTGCCCCCCTCCCCCATGGCATAGATGAGCAACCTTCCCATGGGTACCCGGCTATCTCGGTCCATCCTTGGCTATCTTCGTCGGCCGCGCCCCGCTCGACGAGCTTCGAGATGGGCGCCCAGGGCCCGTGCATCCTCGCCGCGCATCCCTACGACACAGGCCGGCTGCGCCGAAAGTCAGGGGGGGGAAAACACACAGACACAATTAATCGTCGACTCCCGAGAAAATATGCGAAAATATGGGAAGTGGGGGGGAAGAGAAAAAGATAGAAAATATGGGAAAATATGGGGAATCTGTTTATTTGTGTGTATTTCTTTGTGTGTCCCAGTTCCCCTTCAGAAAAGAGGGGTCCAGCCTTCCGAGGGGCCCCACGCCTGTTTGTCCGGAGGAGGCCGCCCCCCCGCCCGCCGACCCCGCCTTCCGACAGGCGGGCAGCTCGCTCGGTCCTCGGAGGCTCCGGAGGCAGAAGCAGGCAGAGGTCTCCTGTGCGACCGCGTGTGATCCACACACCCCGAAGGGCACATTACCAGCGTCGGACATATCCCTACCCCTGAGAACGCCAAAAGGCGATGACAATCTTAGGGATGCGCCCTCAAAAAATAGGGAATCCCTGAAGTTGGCATCGTGATGAGGCGATGCCCAGCATAGGGATAGGGATATGTTCCAGGCTGGCAAGCACATACCGCCATACAAAAACATGGAATTCTGGTGCTCCGCGCGGGGCCCTCGGATCCGCGCTGGGCCCCCCCTGGCGGCGCCTCGGGCGCCGCCGCTGGCGCGCTCGAGCCGCACAGATCCGGGAAGATATCCTGTCGAGGGGGGGTCCAGCGCTCGAAGCGATGGGGGTCCAGTGTTATGTCGGGCGTGTCCCCCTACAGGGGGATTCTCGACGGAAAATGAAAAGAAAATGCCGGCACCAAAAAGGTAAAACACATACTAAAACAATAGTCCCCAGACTATGTTTGGATTATTTTTGGATTATTGTTGGGGTATTTGTTTTATTTTTCGTAGCAAATCCCCCTGTAGGGGGACAGGCCCGACTTAAGTCCAGTGCAGTTCCACGATGTCCAAGCGGAGTGCCAAGAGTTTACGTTTATGGCGATTTTTTCTCTTCTCGCGCCTTCTCTTCTCGCACCTAACTAAAAACTTGGGCTCCCTGAGCTGCGGCGGAGAAAAGAGGGGAAAGAGTTGATCTCCCTTCACCTCCACCTTCCATACGTTCCGACCTCCGCGGAAGGTACGGATGAATGCATCGACACTCATGGAAACTCGAAGTCATCCCATGGAGCCCACATGGATCATATCGGAATAGGGGCGAACGGTTACGGCGGAAGGTCCAGAATACGGAGGGTGAGGGAAGTGATAATCTAGGCCTCTCAGATGGGATCTGGATAGATGGGGGCGCAGGATCGCGCCGAGTCGCCGACGCATCGGCGACTCTCGACCTCCACCATCCATACCTTCCAATCTCTGCAGAAGGTGCGGAGGAATTCATCGAAACTCATTGGAACTTCACGCAATTCAAGGAAACCCACGTAGATCAGATCGACAAAAGAAGGAAGGTTGCGGCGGAAGCTCCGGAAGAATGAGGGGGAGGGCAGATGAGGGTGGAGTAGACGGGGGCGGAGGATCGCTCCGCATCGCCGATGCATCAGCGATGCGGCTCGATGTAGAGCCCAATTTTCTCTGCGCCGGCGTCGCCGATGCACCACCTACGTCGCCGATGCATCACCGATTCGGTGCAATCCTCCGACCCCATCCACTCGGACCCCATTTAGGAGGCGTCTAGTTGAGTCTTGGAGCCGGCTTGGGGGTCTGAGGTGGCCCAGCACCCGTTCCGGCCAGCATGAAGGGCGGGCAGCTCGGGGAGGCGCTGGGATATTTTTTTTTCTTGGCTTGGTTCGGCCTCTGGGGGCCGTCCGCGAGCCCCGTGACCTTTGAAAACTGATCTGGAGTGAACAACTGCAGCAGATGGACTGCGGGAGAGGTTCGGGGACAGATTTTGGGCGGATTCGGTCTCGTCCCCACTCCCTGACCGCTGTTCAGACCCTTCCGCCGCCTCCAAGAATCTGAACAACTGCGCGGCTCACATGCATCACTAGTGGCGGGCTGTTCTTCAATCCCAGGATTTTTTGAAGGTCGTGGACGACGTCGGGGTGGTGTGGTGTTTTTTGTCCTTGTTTTCCCAGGGAAACATCGAAACATTTTCCTGTGGCCGGGGCCGGAAAAGCGTCGGTGTATCTAGAGTCGTTCCTTACAAAAGTCCCCCCAGGAGTTCCTGTCCGACTACGGCGTGCGGGCGCTGTCCAGGGTCCACCTGGAGGAGCCCTACGTGCTCGAGCACGGGGGCAAGACCTACCAGATAGGCTACGAGCCTGCCGAGGCGTCGGTGAGGAGCGATCCAGACGGGGGAGGGCAGAGACGGAGGGGAGAGGATAAAGAGGAGGAGGAGGAGAAGGAGGGAGGAGGAGGGAGGTGGGGAGGGGCATGGAGAGGAGGAGAATGAGGAGGAGTAGGAGGAGAAGGAGAAGGAGAAGGGCAAGGAGTGATGCGAGAAGGAGGGAGGAGGAGGGAAGAGGAATGACGGATGAGGGGGAGTAGGGATGAGAGTGAGGAGGAGGAGCAGGAGGAGGACGAGGACGATCACGGCGAATAATAATCGTAAGTGAAGGGGGCGTTGAGCCGAGGCAGCGGGAGGAGGAAGGTGGACGCAGATGGATGTATCGACGGATGGGCGAGGGAGTGAGGGGAGGGATGGAGGGGGAAGATGGGGGTGATGGTAACTAAGTTGTGATCTTTCCGAGGCGTTTGCGGGGAGTCCAACGGGCAGGTGGAGCCATGAGCAGGTGAAGACATGCCAATGAGGACGCAGTGGGGATGGGAATGGGGACGAGGACCCTCCTCCTCCTCCCTCCTCCTTCTCCTCCTCCTCCTCCTCCTCTTCCTCCTCCTCTCCTCCTCCTCCTCCTCCTCCGCCTCGTCTCCGCATACTTGTTCGCGCTGTGAAACAACAGTGGCTGCAGGTTTTGGTTGCTACGCTCAGATTCTGGGGGCCCTTCCCGGCCCCCAGGTGCGTCGCGCCGCTTGGGCGACGCGTGATGGAGGGCGATACAAATGGGGTTTGCAGCGAGGGTTGCAGAAAAGGAGCCCTTCAGGGCACAGAAGGGGGCCTCTGGAGGCCCGAAGAAGTGCACCGTTCTCCCCCCCCCCCCCCCTCTTCGCCATCCCATGAAGCGACGCCCTGGTCACATACGGTTCAGGAGGGCCGGTCCAAGGGAAGTGAGCCGCACCTCCGGGGGGGGCCACGGGCTGCGAGAAGTAGCGCAGCGTGGGAGGCCCGCGGGCTCGACGGGCGGCCACCGCTGGCGTGCGACTGCCGGGGTGCAGGAGGGTGATGATGCGGAGACCGGGGATGGGGGGGAGGAGGAGTTTTGGTCCAGGAGCGGCGTGGAGTCATGGTGGACGCAGCCGCAGGGCGTTGTTCGCCCCACTTCTTTGGTGGGCTGCAGCACGATTGGCCATTGCGAGCGGGGCGGTCGACGGGCGAGGCAAGTGCTGGCGGTGAAGACGCAGTACACGAATTCAGTAAGCAGCGCGCGGCAACATGCAGCTTCACGCACATGGTGATGACTCCTGGTCGTGCGAAAGATGGAACCTATTGTGTGCTCAGCAGCGAGCGTGCAGCTTTAGCACCTGAGAGCCGGACAAGAAACACACGCCATGCACATACGTTTACGGCACTCCCCGCAGACTTGTCGGGTCGACGCCGCCCGAGGTCCAGAAGCCATCCGGGAACATTTGATCATTTGTGTGATGCTCTTTCGCTCTCTTTCTCGACCGAGGATCATGGGCGGCAACTCGAATTGGCGCGGACCGATCTGGTTCCCGATGAACTACCTCATCATCGAGTCTCTCCAGAAGTTCCACCAGGCGGGCGCTCTCTTCTGCCGGTTGCCTCAAGGGGGCTCCTCCCCGTCTTTTGACCGCAGCGTGTTGTCGTCGTTTTGCTCGCCCTCTCCCCCCTCGGAAGCAATAAACAAGGCGACACCACCACCACCAGTCGTGCCTCCTCCATGGGAGGAAGTCTGCAATGCCCCTCCTGCTTGGATCAGGCCGTGCCTTAGCCCCACAGTGGAGACCCATGCCAAGGAACACCCGGCTTGCTTCCAGGGTGCCCTGGGTTTCTTGGGTTTCGATGGTCTTGCTGTGGAAAGCGCGACGTTCCCACACCAAAAATCAATGGGCGTCCTGGGGTCTCAGGTTTGGGTGTCTTGTGGAATGTTTCTTGTGGACCTGCCTCCACTGTAGGCTTTCCAAATGGGGCCCGAAAAGGCGCGATCGGAGGATTTGTCACGTCGCTGGTGCATCGCCGACGTCGCAGATGTATCGCCGATGCGTCGGTGATGCATCTACGATGTGGCGCGATCCTCCGACAACATGTACTCGGACCCCATCGAGGAGGCCTCCAGATCGGGCATGTTTTGAGCGGGGCCGGGGTGCCATACCACCAGGAGGAACCCCGGCGGCTCCTAGTTTTGGTATTGGTACCGCTTTTCCTTGTTTTTACCCCCTCCGCGTAAGTCTTGCTTCGCTTGTCAGGACTCCGAGGGGAGTACATCGCGGCAGAGATAAGTGGTCGGAGCTCACTCCCACGCGATGGACGCAGACAAAGGGGGTTGATTGCGCGGGCATTTGCGCGCACAATTATGGGCCCGCCCAGTCGTCGAATACCCGAGGCCCATGAAACTATTCCGCTTACTGAACGCGGAGTATTGGGACTTCCGAGGTCGAGAGTCCAAGGCGCACACACACTCACGAGTATGATGAGGGTGCCCCTCCCGAGCTGGGGCGGTCTGTTTCACCGTCGTGCCAGCTACAAGCGGCACGAGTAAATCGCGGACGATTCGTCGCCCCCAATACCAGATTTCCTCTGAAACATCAGGCCGATCAGAAAGGACGGGGAATTCGAGGATACCCTCTTGTGGGACTGTTCGGGCACACCACTATACTATCGTGGATGGACGTCCCCACCGTAGACGTTCGAGTTTGAGCCAAAATTTGGTTGGCCCACCGAAAGTGGGCGTCGAGCCTTGGGGGGAAGTGAGACATGGCAGGCCTTCTCAGAAGACGGCGGGGCTTCGGAGGAGGCGCACAGAGCTTCTCAGGAGGCCAGGGCCTTTGATCCTTTGTTTGAGAAGTTCCGCCTCCTCTATGTGTGAGGTGGCCGCCGTGCTAATGTCGTGGATCCCTTGGGGCCGAAGACATCTGCTTTTGGGACCGCGCACATGCATTCGGCCCAGAGGTCTGCGTTCGTTTGAACATTTGATCGGCTGAATATAGTGTGGATCAATGGTAGTCCCACACCATGTTTGTCTCTAGCATGGTTCTGCTGCTCGCAAGCGCCGCCGCGAACATCACTCTGGATATTTTTTGGGATAGGTTCGCGAGAGTGAGGCGTTCAGCAAACTAATTACACTATGTGTCAGGCGACGCTTCACATACCTTATTAGCGTATATATGTGCAGCTCCCACCACCTGTCGATATATTCAAGGTTTTCGGGCGTGTTCGTCGGTTCCCGGACGTAGGTCCTCTGCCCTGGGGTTGCGCTGCAGCAGCTGCGCCTCGGCGCGAGAGTTCTGGGGTCGCCGAATTCGCCCCAAGAGGCCGACGGAGACCCGAGCCATCCCCCGAAAGTCCGATGACCCTTTGTCCATTCGATCCGACCGATACGATGCGATGCTGATTCTGGCCGTCTCCGCTGCGATTCGATCCCGATGTGCCGACGATTTGATTCGGTCCGATGATGGCGTGGCACTGTTTTGTATCCTGGTGCATGCGATCTGATTCGATTCCGACTCTGTGCGGACACAGCCCGATCCGACGCCCCTGGGCTAAGACGAGGCCAGGGACGAGGATGAATTCGGGTGAGGATGAATCGAGATTTTCTGAGGTCCGGCGGCTGTAGAGGATGCATCGGGCGCCGCGGCCTCCTCAGAGCAAGCATTCAGGAACGCTCTGAGAGCGTTCCAGAACGCTCTGGAAACCAGACCCCAGACGGCGTGATTTTTTCACAACGTCGACCCCCAGATGTCTGGACCCCTTTCCCCAGACCGGTTTTTCTGCCCGAGTCGTTTCTGACGGTCCCGAGGCCCAGTACCCCCAGCGTCCAAACATATCGAAAACCTCCCGTCGTGCTGTTTTCACGAAGCGAGGAGGGCCGGGAACGGATTTATCCTCGTGTGGGTCACCCTTCGGGCCGCGAGGATGCTCGCGCCTCGCTCGTCGCGGTTTGGGTCGGAGCGGCCGTCCTTCTCCAAGTTGGGCGGCTCGGGGGTGCGAAGACATCGCGCGTCGCGCTTCGCGTGGCGCGATGCGCACAGCTGTCCTTCCACAGGAGGAAAATTTAAGAATAATCAAACTATAGCCTGGGGGTGATTTCTCCCAGCCATCCTGTGATGTTGGGTCCTCGTTTTGAAGAGACGGTCCTCGCGTTCACCCCTCCTCCTCCTGCTAGCCCCTCCTCCCTCCTTCCCTTCTCGCCTATACCCTCCGCATGTCTTTGTTTCGGCACACCCCTCACACGTTTCGTGGCCCCACAGGGAGCTCCACTGAAGGCGCCAGTGGCTGCGCTCGCATGACACCACCGCACCCATGCCGGCACCCCCCTCACACGGTTTGTGGCCCTACAGGGAGCCCCACCGAAGGTCACAGTGGCTGCGCTCGCATGACACCACCGCACCCATGTCGGCACGCCCCTCACACGTTTCGTGGCCCCACAAGGAGCTCCACCGAAGGCGCCAGTGGCTGCGCTCGCATGGCGCCACCGGACCCATTCCGGCACACCCCTCACACGTTTTCGTAGCCCATGGAGAGCTCCACCGAAGGCGCCAGAAGCTTCGCTCGCATGTCACCACCGCACCCATTTTCGCACACCCCTCACACGTTTCGTGGCCCAACAGGGAGCTCCACCGAAGGCCCCAGTGGCTGCGCTCGCATGACACCACCACACCCATATCGGCACACCTATCACACGTTTGAGGCCCCATGGGGAGCTCCACCGAAGGCCCCAGTTCAAGCGCTCGCATGGCACCACCGCACCACCTTCGGCGCACCCCTCACACGTTTAGTGGCCCCATCGGGAGCTTCACCGAAGGCCCCAGTGGCTTCGCTCGCATTACACCGCGCCCATGTCGGCACGCCCCCCACACGTTTCGTGCCCCATGATGAGCTCCACCGAAGACGATACCAACAATTGCGCTACTCACTACTGCATATGTTTAGGTCTTTTGCCCGGATGATTTGATAATTGTTGGGCAAGTTAAAGAATTGTGTTGATTTGTGTTTGTAATATGTCCTTCAAAATCCGCCTGTAGGAGGACATGCCCGGCCTATAGTGAGGGGACTTGGACGCGCATCCCGATTCGCACAGATCTCCCGCTTCGATGATAATACCTGCCATCTCACACGCGCAGCTTCGGGCAAGGCCGCCGCAGCAAGTCGCGGAAACTCCGAGGGTGAGGCGTGCCGACCATCAGGGCGCCACAAGGGCGCCACAAGAGCAGCGGGCTCCACTGCGCGGGCACTCGCGCGTGCTGTCTCCCGCAGGCTGCGCGTGGGCGCCCCCTTCTCCACGCGGTGCGCCGCCCTGGCGGCCCGCGCAGGCCGCGGCCGACGGTCGTTGCCGGCTCGTGTAAGACCCACTCCCAAGGAGTAGAATCCCACAGTCGGGTCGCTGAAGAAGGAGCCTTTTTCGTCGGGAGGGGCTCCGCGTTTCTTAATTATTTCACAGCTTGCCTCAGGTTATCCTTATGTTCTCGATGGGAATTCGAAGTTTAACTTATGGAGAAAAGGGGCCTCGTTCCCTATTTAGGGTTCCTCAGGTCACCGCCCCGACTGTAGAGGCTCCGCGTGGTGCGCAACAGTTTCGCTGCCTGGTCCGCACGTCCGTCCACCCCGTCGGATATGGGATGAGGTTCGCTCGGCGCTGTTCCGTCGTGGGTCCGACGGGGTGGGGCCTTTTTATTTGCGCGGGGCTGCGCGTGGAACAGAGAGTCATCACTCTGGACTGGACTTGTAGGTTCCCGTTTGCGATGTAGGGAGATGGGGGCAGTTGATTCTCATGGAGGGGGGGGGAGTAGCGAAATGAAATCCGAACTTCACGCAAGCCGGGACGCACTTGCACGCTTTTTTAGGCCATCACCATTCGCGAATGTTGCGAAGTGTGGGAGTGTGGGGGGCACGAATTGCCACACAAGAGAATATGGCAGGAACTGAGTGCAATCACACTCTTGTCCCCAGTATCGGCGCGGCGGGTGCTCAGGGAATAGAGTGGGGCTATCAGTAGATACTAGGGTGGGTCCCATCTGGCCTGGCTTGGCTTGTAAGTTGTTTGCAGGTGCCACAAGCGGCGTCGGGGCGGCGCCGGGGGTCAAGTTTCTGGGCTAAGTGGAACCCGCCCGCTCAGCGGAGCTTTCGTACACACCAAGCAATCAGATATAACCAAGCTTGGCATCCACCGATAATCCCCCTTATCGCCTCAGCAACCCCTACGCCGATCCAAGTATAGGTCAAGCTAGCTAGGCCGAGCGAGTCAGGGGGCCGCGCCTATTCCTACCCTCCCTCCCATAACATGGTCCTCATTCCTGGAACAGCTTGCTGTTGGCATTAGAGCGGTTCCCATCACCCGTCGCGCGCGCGCTGGCGACGGGATATGGGCATTGGCGCAAAGCAGACCAGCATCGGCGGCCAGGCCCGTTTGTTACGTGGAGCGAAGTCTCAGCAAGCCTTTAAGTTGGGCATGTCCCGTTACAGGAGGAATATTCAGGACTGGTTATACAACAGTCAGGGGACGATATTCATGCTCTGTTCACTTTTGTTGAATATGTCTTTGCTGACTATCTTGCACTCTGTTTCCACAATCTGCCTGTTAGAGGACATGCCCGACCTAAGCATACTCTCGGCCCTGCGCAGGCATGCATGTGTTCAAAACTTGGCGGACCAGATGCCTTGACCTGCTCTCCAGGACCGGCAGTTCACCCAGTTTCTTCTGCCTGCCATAATTTGGCCGCCGTGTTTTTCCCCGGCTATCCTATCGTGTAAGGCCCTCGTCTGGAAGAGACAGCGCCCCGCGTTCGTCTCCGCTTCTCCTCCCCCTCCTCCCTCCTCCCGGCTCGCACGCATATCGTTTCTTGCCTGGTTTGTGCACTGGTTCTTGATGAAGTTCGTCCACGACGTCTATTCGGACACGATCTGAGGCCACGGCCTCTTGCGCCCTGCCCAAAATGGCACAGGCACACCTGTGTGCCCGACTCTGGCGCCCTCGCCCCCGCCTTCGACCTCCGCCCATCCCTGCGCCTGCCATCCGCACCAGGTAGCCATGCCTCTGACTTGCGCACCAGTCAACCACATCGGCACGTCCTTCACACACTTCGTGGCCCCGAGGGGCGCCCCACCGAAGGCTCCAGGGGCTGCGCTCGCATCTCGCATGGCACCACCGCGCCCAGTTCGCCATACTCCTCATACGTTTCGTGGCCCCGCTGCTCCAGCGAAGGCCACAGTGGTTGCGCTCGCATGGCACCACCGCGCGCGCTTCGTGGCCCAACAAGGAGCTTCGCGGACGGTCCCGGGTGGTTGCGCCCGCATTGTTTCACCGCGCCCATTGTGGGGCACCCGTCACAGGTTTCGTGGCCCCGCTGAGAGGTCCAGCGAAGGTCACAATGGCTGCGCTTGCATGGCATCACCGCGCCCGTTTCGGCACACCCCGCACACGTATCGTTGCCCCGTAGGGAGCTACAATGAATGCCCCAACGGCTGCGCTCGCACGGCGCCACCGCGTCCGTACCGTCACAATCATCATTCGATTTCGTGGGCCAGTAGGGAAATTCATCGACTGCTCCAGGGGCGGCGCTCGCATGGCACCACCGAACCCGTTTCGGTACACTCCTCACACGTTTCGTGGCCCCGTATGGTGGTCATCGACAGTCCCAGTGGCTGCACTCGCATGGCACCACCGCACCCAGTCCGGCACACGCCTCACACGCTTCGTGGCCCCATGGGGAGCGCCACCGAAGGTCATAGTTGCTGCGCTCGCATGGCACTACCGCGCCCGTTTCGGAACACCGTTTTCATACGCGTCGTGGCCCCGTTGGGATCTCCACCGAAGGCCACAGTGGCTGCGCACGCATGGCGCCACCGCACCCAATGTGGCGCACGCCTCGCACGTTTCGCGGCCTCGTATGGGGTTCCCCGACAGTCCCATCGGATGACGCATGGCATCACCGCGTCCGGTCCGGCACAACCGTCAAACGTTTCATGGCCCCACAGGGGGAGGTCCACCTCATGCCCCAGCAGATGCGCTCGCATGACATCACCGTGCCCGTTTCAGCACACCCTTACATGTTTCGTAGTTCCTTATGGGTGTCCATTGAAGGCCCCAGTGGCTGCGCTCGCATGGCCTCGCCGCAACCTGTTCGGAACGCTCCTCATTCGCTTCGTGCCCCCACAGGGAACCCCACCGAGGGTCACAGTGGCTGCGTTCGCATGGCGCCACTGCATCCAATGTGGCGTACTCCTCGCACGTTTCGCGGCCCCGTATGGGCTTCCCCGACAGTCCCAGCGGATGCGCACGCATGGCATCACCGCGTCCGGTCCGGCACAACCGTCAAACGTTTCGTGGCCCCACAGGGAGAGCTCCACCTCATGCCCCAGCGGCTGCGCTCGCATGGCATCACCGTGCCCGTTTTGGCACACCCTCACATGTTTCGTGGTTCCTTATGGGTGTCCATTGAAGGCCCCAATGGCCGCGCTCGCATGCCCCCGCCGCAACCTGTTCGGAACGCTCCTCATTCGCTTCGTGCCTACACAGGGAACCCCACCGAAGGTCACAGTGGTTGCGTTCGCATCGCACCACCGCACCCGTTTCGGATCACCGTTTCCACACGTTTCGCGGCCCTGTATGGATCTCCAACGAAGGCCACAGTGGTTGCGCTCGCATGGCGCCACCGCGCCCAATGTGGCAAACCCTGCAAACGTTGCGTGGCCTCGTATGGCGGTCGACTCATAGTCCCTGCGGCTTCGTTCGCATGGCACCACAGTGCCCTTTTCGGCACCACCCTCACACGTTTCGTGGCTCCACAGAGAACCCCACCTCATGCCCCCAGCGGCTGCGCTCGCATGGCATCACCGCGTCCGTTTCGGCGCAGTCTTCACACATTATGTGGCTCCGTATGGGGTTCCGCTGAAGGTCCCAAGGGGCTGCGCTTGCATGGCACCACCGCGCCCATGTCGGCGCTCTCTTCATACACTTTCGTGGGCCCATAAGAGTTTCCACTGTAGGCCCTCATGGCTGCGTTCGTGTGGCACCAGCGCGCCCAATTTGGCACACCCCTCACACGCGTCGTGGTCCCATGGTGAGCTCCACAGAGGGCCCCAGTGGCTGCGCTCGCATGGCACCACCGCGCCGATTTTGGCGCACTCTTCCTTCACACGCGTCGTGGCCCCATAGGGAGCTTCACCAGGGGCCCCAGTGGCTGCGCGAGCATCGCACCACCGCGCCCATTTCGGTACACCCGACGCATGTTCCTCTGAAGGCCCCAGAGGCGACGTCCGCATGGACCCACCGCGCCCATTTCGGCACACATCCTTCAGTCGCTTCTTGGCCAAATAGGGAGCTCCACCCACGGCCCCAGAGATCGCGCCCGCGTGGGACCACCGCGCCCGTTTCGGCACACCCCTCGCACGTTTTGTGGTCCCATGGGGAGCTCCACCGAAGGCCGCAGGGCAGCGCCCGCATGGCACCAACGCGCCCATGTCGGCACACCTCTCACACGCGTCGTGGCCCTAAAGAGAACCTCGCCGAAAGCAGTCAGTATTCGCATCGCAGGATTCGCAATTGCATATGGTGGGATGTTTCGCCCGGATGCTTTTTCTTTTCGCAGCGGTGCCTAGTTTAGCTCATGAGTGTGTCACAAGTCCCACCCAGCCTGAGGGGCCTTCTATAACTTACTTCACTAGCGCAGCCCATGTCCTCTGGATCGTTACCCCCGTAGCAACTCCTGCGCCGATCCAAGTAGCGATGATCGTGACATGTATTGTTGTTTTTTCTTCCTGCAGTACTACGGGGCGGACTACCTCGTGGAGTGCCCGGTGGCTTCTGGACAGTGGCGCCCTCGGCCGCGGCCGCGTACGAGCCCGCCCGGGCAACCCCGGGGTGCGCGCTCTCAGGGCTTGCCTCGGCGTTTCCCGTGCAAGTGGAGGGTCTAGGTCCGAGGATCAGGGATACACTGGATCCTCGCAGGGGTGCTTAAAGTGGACAAGTATTTCAGTGAATGCCATGGTGGTTATATCTGGCCTGAACTAGCTTATCAATGGGCTACACATGCCATGAGCGGCCTAGGGGATCTATCGATCCGGGCGGACTGGGTTCCGCCCACAGGCGGAGTTCTTCGGGGGCGGCAAAGAGGGGGGTGATGACTAGGGGGGGTGGATTTCATGGCTTGGGCCATGATATGTCCCCAGATTTCATGGCGCCTCTTCTTATTGTATTACGTCCCTAGCCGCCCCCCTGGGCCGCGCACGTGCCGCCCGCCATGATTTGCACTCCCCCCTCTTGGACGCCCCTCTCTTTCCCGCCCCCGAGTTATCTAACACCCAAAGCCGCTCACGGTACGTATGACCCACTAACCAGATGGGCTAGGTCAGATCTAAACCCTTTTCGCATCCACTGATCATCCCCCCATCCCCTCAGGAACTCCCGCGCCGATCCCAATCTGGATCTAGGATCGAGTGTTAGGATTGACGATTGACGATCGATTCGAGGGGCATAGGGGATCCAGGATTGGGGGTATCGCCCGTAGGTCTTGCAAGATGGGAGGGGAGGTGGTTGAGAGGTGATAGGAGATTGCCGAGGTTCGGCCTGATTCCCACCCTTGGCCGCCCGTGGGCGCCTCTTGAGCGTCGCTTGCGCTGGGCGGCCGCACAGGTTGCACCGCACAGCTTGAACCACTTCCGTTGCGCCACATTATTCGATAGCACCAACGAGGTTGTCCCACATCGTTTTACCACACAGCTTCCGCCACACATGCAACAACACATACCATGACTCGCGACGAAAATATGACGACTCGTAGCCAACGCAGCAAAGCTTACAACACATCTTACACCACACAGCCTACACTATGTAGCTTGCACCGCATAGCCTTCACCACATAGCTGCCAATGCCTAGTTTACACCACAGATATTGCACCACATAGCTGCCTTCGCGTGACAATTCCCACAGAGTTTGTGCGGCAGAGCTTGCACCACGCAGCTTGCACCACATAACACGCACACCCACCTTGCAATGCCTTCCAGTTCGGGGCTCACGCTGGTAAACATCAATGTGTACGTGCCAGCGCGAACCCCAAACAATAGGTTGTTGTTTTTGATGTGTAGTCTATGTGGTGCAGCATGCGCGGTGCAAGGCATGAAGTGTAAGCTACTTGGTGCACCACGGACGTGTGTTTTACGGTGTAAGCGTTGTGGCGCAGTGTGATGTGATTTATGTTGTGTAAGATATGTCCGGTACGCTTGGGCATTATGTGCTGCAACATGCGTGGGGTATTATATGCGTTGTAAGCCATGTGCTCTCGTGAGCCTTGCGGTGTGAGCGGTGTAATCTCTGTGGAGCCGCACCCAGAGCGGGCACGAGGCGGCCGCGAGGCGCCCACGGGCGGGCCGCGCGGGCCCGAGGCGACCATCCATGGGAGAGCCCTCCCCGCGGGAGCCGCCCGCGGGCGGGCCCGCACCGGGCGGGTGCCACCGCGACCGCCGCCCGGGGCCCGCCTCGGGCGGTCCTGCGGGCTCGTGGGCGCGGCCCCGTAGTCCTAGCATGCGGGCAGCGCGCCGGGGCGGCGTGCGCCCGTGCACGAGAGGTCCACAGCGGGGGCGGCAAGGAAGGGGGGTGATGACGAGGTTGCTGCACGAACGAAATGGGCACGGAAAGAATGGGTACAATGCCCAGCAGCAGTTCCTGTTCCTTTTGAGCAGGACTCGCTGTCCGCGCCGCCGCGGCCCGTGTCCATTTGAGACAGAGGGCCGCCTGCCCAACAGCGGCCGCTACCGGTTTGGGACAAAACTTGTTGATGGGCATTGTGCCCATTCTTTCGGTACCCATTTGGGGTGTCCCAAAAAGAAGGGGGGTGATGACGAGGTTCCACGGGCGAAGAACGCGATAAACGAACCTTTTCCGCCGTCGGTGGCGGCTTGGAAGCTCATATCCTTACGGTGGCGGCGCAGGGGTGGGAATTGACTAGCCGCCCAGGGGCAGGCGCCCCCGGCGATGCAAGAGCTCATCATACCTTCTCTTCGCCCGCTCAACCGGGGGTGGGTGGATATCATGGCGAGGGCCAGGATGTTTCCCCAGATTTCACGGCGCCTCTTCTTATTTCAATACGTTCCCAGTTCCCCCCTGGGCCGCGCACATGCCGCCGACCATGATTTGCTTGAGGGTCCCGGATTGACCACATTTGTATAGGACTACACGACACATATTGCAAGAAACCTCAAAAGCATGAAACATAAAGCAACATGAAGCCACATGAAACTACAAAAAACCTCTGGTCGTCGTTCATATGTGTGACATCATACAGTGAGGATGGGAACAACATGCAACTACAAGAAACTATGCCACCGCCGATCTGCCAGCGGCGTCGCTTTCGCTGTCGGCACCGTCGCCGTCGGCGTCGTGACGCCGTCGTCGGTGTCGTTTCCGCCGCCGCCGTCGCTGGGGGCCCGCCGAAGAGGGGAGGAATCAGAGGAGAGCGGAGCGAGATGAGGGTGGCATTTTGGCCGCCTTCGGTTTCGGGGGGCCTCCTCGTCGCCGCGGCTGGGCGCATCGTGAAACATCACTGCGTTTGGGCCCCGGGAGGGGTCTGGGTGCCGATGTTGATTCGATTTGGCCATCGTTGTCTCTCGCCCGTGGTCTCATGTTGCCCTTCTCCGAGGGAGGGGAGAGGAGGAAGCAGAGGGAGGGGATGGGGGGTGGGAGGAGGAGGAGGAGGAGGAGCAGGAGGAGGAGGAGGAGGAGGAGGAGGAGGAGGAAAAGGAGGAGGAGGAGGAAAAGGGGGAGGAGGAGGAGAAGAGAGGGAGGAGGAGGAGGGAGGAGGAGGAGGGGGGGGGAGGGAGCGGAGCGAGGGGATGGGGGAGCGGGAGGGAAGAGGGGGAGGAGAAGGAGGAGGGGGATGGAGGAGGGGATGGAGGCCCCGGTTTGCCGCCCCTCCCGCTTGCCGCCTTCTTCCTCCGCCTGCCCTGCATTTTCCCCTCCTCCCCCTCCTCCCCTGTTGTCCTCCTCCTCCTCCCTCTCCTCCTCCTCCCTCTCCTCCTCCCTCTCCTCCTCCCTCTCCTCCTCCTCCTCCTCCTCCTTCTCCCTCCTCCTTCCTTCTCCTCCTCTTTCCACCTGCCTCCCTCCTCTTCCTTTTCCTCCTCCTCCTCCCTCTCCTCCTCCTCCTCCTCCTCCTTCTCCTCCTCCTCCTCATCCTCCTCCTCTTTCCCTTTCTTACTCCACCCTCTTCCCCCCCCCCTCGTCAACAATCCTCCCTCTTCCCCCTTCCTCCCTCCCCATTTCCCTCGTCCTCGTCCTGGTTCTCGTCCTCGTCCTTCTCTTCCTCGTCCTGACCCCCTCGCCCTCCCCGTCCTCCTTCTCCTCGTCCTCGTCCTCGTTGCTTTAGTCCTCCTCCCCCCACCCTTTTCCTCCTCCTCCTCCTCTGGACTGGCGGATCTCCTCCAGCTTACAGCCTGGTCGCCCTTCCAGGGGACTGGCGGATTTGGACTCGGCTGGGCAGCGAGTTAAGGTCCCCCCCTTCCCCAAATCCTCCTCACCCCCGACTTCTCCTCCTCCTCCTCCTCCTCCTCCTCCTCCTCGCCCTCCTCCTCCTCCTCCTTCTCGTCCTCCTCCCCCTCCCCCTCCCCCTCCCCCCATCCTCCTCACCTCCGACTTCTCCTCCTCCTCCTCCTCCTCCTCCTCCTCCTCCTCCTGCCTTCGCTCTTAATCCTCCTCCCCTCTTCTACATTTCCCTAATCGTTCCCTTTCCTGCTGCCGTGCCCGAGTGGCCTATGCAATGCCTTCGGGCACGCTGAGATCATGCGATTTCAAGGGTCCTCCATTGGTTCTTCCGGAATCGTGGCTTTGGCGCATGCTCCCAAGGACCCCCCGCGGTTCAGGGCCTCTCGCGGCTTGGCTCACTCCTCCCTTTTCCGTCCCTCCCTGTCCCTCCTCCCTGTTTTCTTTCCTTCATCTTCGTCCTCGACCTCGTCCTCGTTCTCCTCCCTCTCCCCCACGTGCTTGTCCTCGTCACCCTCCCCTTCATCCTCCGCCTCTTTCTCCTCCCCTCGCCTGGAGGAGTTCTTCTGTTTGTCTGCTTCTGGCCTCCCCACCCGCGGGGGGGAGATGGAGAAGGGGGAGGAGGAGGAGGAGGAGGAGGAGGAGGAGGAGGAGGAGGAAGAAAAGGAGGAGGAGCAGCGGCAGGAGCAGGAGCAGGAGCAGGAGCAGGAGCAGGAGCAAGAGCAGGAGCAGGAGCAGCAGCCAGAGAAGGAGGAGGAGGAGGAGGAAGGCCGGGCCCCCTGGTCTGTCCCTGGAGGCCTTGTGCTTTGCTGCTCCTGACGAGGATACGCTTGTCCTGTCGGGCCTCTCCTCCCTCTTGCCTCCTCCTCCTCGTCCTCCTCTTCATCCTCCTCCTTCTTCACCTCCCACCTCCCTCCTGCCCCTCTCTCGTTCCTCCTCCGCCTCCTCCTCCCTCCTCTGTCCTCCTCATCCCTGATCGTTCCATCCTTCTCCTCCCTTTTCCCCCTTCTCTTTCTCCCCTACCTCCTCCCTCTTCCTCCTTCCCTCCCTCTCTCCTTCCCTCCCTCCCTCCCTGCCTGCCTCCGTCCCTCCCTCCCTCCCTCCCACCCTCCCTCCCTCCCTCCCTCCCTCCCTCCCTCCCTCCCCTCCTGCCTCCCTTCCTCTTCCGAGAAGCCCAAACATGAAACTCGGCGCTCCCAGGGGCTCAAACATGAAACTCGGGGCCCCCAGGGGCCCAGGCAGACCGCACAGGGTCGCAAGACGGCCAGGCGACGCCGGAGGACGCCCAGGGGGCCCCCTTGGGCTGTCAGTTGGGCCAGCAGTGGCCGACAGGGCTCCCA